ACCCTGAGCCCTATGACTTAGTTTTTTTTTTTTTTGGGTGGGGGCCGGGGCTAGACTCTAAGCCCTATCACTTGGCTGCTTTTTTGGTGTGGGGGCCGGGGCTAAACTCCAAGTCCTATCACTCAGTTGTTTTTTCGGGTGGGGGCTAAACCCTAGAAGCCATATCACTTAGTTGCTTTTTTGGGGCGGGGGCTAAACTCTAAGCCCTATAGCAATCAATTGCTTTTTTGGTTTGGGGGCTAACCCCAAAGCCCTATCACTTAGTTGCTTGGCTGGGGTGGGGGCTAAACCCAAAGCCCTGTCATTTAGTTGCTTTTTGGGGGCGGGGGCTAAATCCTAAGCCCTATCACTTAGTTGCTTTTTTTGGGAATGGTGACTAAACTCTAAGCCTAAGCCCTATCACTTCGTTGCTTGTTTGGGGTGGGGGCTAAACCCTAAGCCCTATCACTTAATTGTTTTTAGTGTGGGATTGGTAGACCCTAAACCCTGAACCAAAAACAACTGCTCAGGGTAGGATTTGGGCGGGGAGGGCTAGTTGATAATTCGGGGCTTGGAGCCTTGGGCTGAAGGCTTCGGGTTCTGCAGGGGTCGACATCAACAGATTGACGTTTGGGTACGTAAGAAACCTCACTCAAAAGGCGGCCGTTTGTTTCCAGTTTATCTCCAGGAACTTGGCGATTCCAGCCCCAGACCCAAAAGCGCCCAAAACCCCTTCACCCCGAAAGCTTAAATCCTACAGACACCCTGGGTGATAATTAGAAGACGGTGGGCCTTTGAAGATGACGGCATGTAGAACCCGCGGGCTTGCAGGGCTTTAGGGCACATAGCTTTGCATATCTAAGTCCCGGTATCCCAAAAGAGCAAGCCCGTGTCCTGGCGACTGATCATGTCAAGGATCTGCACAGCCTGGTAATGCGGTGCCGGCGGGTTCTCCACCAGATCCTTGCTGCATGCGAGCATCGGTTTAGGGTCTTTAGGGTTTATAAACCATTAGCCATGTTTAGCCTGCCGGGTGCACGGCCCTTGAATTGTGTGATTTGTGGGCGGGAATTCATGGAAACCCGCAGGAGGTCTCTTCAACAAGTCATGTTCGGAAGTCAGGGCCCTGCAGAACGCGTGTTCCGTAATGAGGATCGTGGGTCCTGCGTGCACCGTCACCAACAGGACACAGCATGCAACGCTGCTGTGCAGAAGAAGCTTCCCTGTATCTCCAGCCCCAATTAAAAGGTATGCGTGAGGTCCTTCATGGGCCAACATACATCAAGTCAGGACCCTAAACCCTAAACCCTAAACAGCTCACAGTATATCATGCATTCCTTAGTTTGGGGCTCTCTGGGCCCTAAGATCCAAGAATCAAACTGTTGGCGCTGAGGCCGGCGGCCACGGTAGTACCATGCAGCCTCCAGGCACCGCTGGGAATTTAGGGAAGCTTTGACTTGGGCTTGCGGGAATTCGTGCGGCAGGCTAGGCCCCAGGCTTTTGCTTTAGGCTGCTACTTTGGGAGCCAAAGTTTAGGGTAGTTCAGGGAATCGAACTACAGAGCCAAAAGCTCTGAAGCTGCATGCCTTTGGGGTTACAGGGAGCTAAGGCGACTGACAGCGACCCACACATGAAATACTTGGACACATCGGATGCCTGGTCCATCTGCCAGGCATTCATGCGCAAGGGACAGAGGCCCTTCTTCTTCTTGAAGATTTCAAGCTGCTGCTTCGCTGGCAAGAAGGGCCGAACTGGGCAGATGAAATCAGTGTTGTTGTAGGGCTCCGGCATGTCTTGCTGCATGATTGCCAGGTTGCAAGCCATTGTCCGCGGCAGGCCTGATACGCCTCCTGGAGTGCAGTCTTCACCCGGCAAGAGGTCTTTCTTGCCCGTCCACTTGCTGTACGCGATTTGGGCGTAGTAGCGCGCCGTGTCATCTTCGGTCCCCAGCGCGGCATCGAGTTTCTCCAAATCCGCTGGTCCAGCGGTGTTCTTGATGGGACAGACCACCCACTTGACCACAGAGCTCCCAAGCAGCTGCCCCAAGCGGGTGTACTGACCACTAAGAGCTGAGAAGCTCTTGGCGATCGAATCCCACATGCCACGCATAAGGCTACTTCCGAGCGACGAGGCATGCAGCTCCTTCCTGGGTGCTTGTGAGGAATTTAGTTTGAACTACTAAACCACCGACATGTAGTAACGACAACACTTCTAATCATATATTATGGCATTATAAACCAAACTCCCAAACTCGAAACCCAGCGTCCCATCCCAGTCATCATCTGGGGCCATCTCCTCTGTGAGCAAGGCCGGGAGAGCGTCGAACAAGCGCTCGTTCCTGTTGCGAAATCTAGTCGCGCAGCCCGACACCCAGGGTTTGGCACAGTTTCTACAAGGGTTCTATACCATAAGGCTGTGTAATGTCTGGGGTTTTTAGCTTGCGGCACATGCACCCCTAAACCCTAAACCCTAAACCCTTACGTACTTTAGCATATTATTGGGATTCGAGGCTCTCTGGGCAACTCTGTTCCCTTCAGAGGCGGCCGGCCACCAAGGCACCCATGCCTGGATGACTTGTGCATGACCAAAACCGTAGCTAAAGCTTTCACCGAATGCAGGCAAACTTCATGTTGGAGATCAGCTCCATAATCTTCAGCTTCCTTGGCACGGGTTCGAGCGGGAACTTTAAAACCTGAGAAACACCTTCCACATGTCGCTTACTTCCCTCCTCATGGAGGCCCGCACCATTATGCCATGCTCCTGCGCTTCCCCCCCTTCCAAGGTCTGTGGATATGAACATCGCAGGTTTCGACCCTCGTCCCTTTTGGAGCCCCAACACAAACGGCAGCGCGTGTCCATCGCAAATTACAGCTTGTGTTTGAGGTGTTGGTGTCGATTTCGCCCCACACACTACCCTCTATCCGACCCTAACTACTGATCATCAGGTCCAAACCTGAACCCTTTAAAGCTCGACACAAACTACCATGACCGATCTTCTGTGGGCCCCTATGAAGTCTACGATGCACTCGTCTAAGAATCTATTCAAAGTCCGTAAACCCCAAACCGTAAACCCGTAACCCTGAGAAACCCTAAACCGTGAAACCCTAAAGGAACCCTTAACAGGAACCCCTAAGGAACCCCCTTACAGGAACCCCTTAAAGGAACCCTTAAAAAGAAACCCCTTAAAGGAACCCTTAACAGGAACCCCTTACAGGAACCCCTTAAAGGAACCCTGAAAGGAACCCTTAAAAAGAAACCCCTTAAAGGAACCCTTACAGGAACTCCTTACAGGAACCCCTTAAAGGAACCCTTAAAGGAACCCCTTAAAAAGAAACCCCTTAAAAAGGAACCCTTAACAGGAACCCCTTACAGGAACCCCTTAAAGGAACCCTGAAAGGAACCCTTAACAGGAACCCCTTACAGGAACCCCTTAAAGGAACCCTGAAAGGAACCCTTAAAAAGAAACCCCTTAAAGGAACCCCTTCAAGGAAGCCCTGAAAAAGGAAACCCTTAAAAAGGAAACCCTTAAAGGAACCCTTAAAGGAACCCCTTACAGGAACCCCTAACAGGAACCCCTTAAAGGAACCCTTAAAAAGGAACCCCCTTAAAGGAACCTCTTAACCTAAACCCTAAACCCTTAAAGGAACCCCCGGAAAAAGGAAACCCAGTGCCGTGCAGGTGCATAGTCAGCTCCATGCTTGCTAGCTGGCACGTAGGCGGCCGCCAAAGCCTTAGTTAACCCCCCGACTCCCTTTAAATCCGCGGAGGCCACAGGCCCAGGCGTCTTGGGGGTTACCTCAAGTACCCCACCTGATCCTCCTCGCTGCAGCGCAAATGGTTCGACGCACCCGTTTTTTGCCTTCGTTTTCCACCCCCTCGCACGGCTTCCCGTGATTTTGGCTGACTGTTTTGGCGTTTGCCTCCAGACCCCCTCACTTTCTGCTGTTTTTTGGCCCCCCCCTTTCACCCCTCCCTTGCTCGTCTCCGCTTCTCCCCTCCTCCTTCCCCACCTTTCCCAGCTTGCAACAGACACCTGTTCCCTTTTTTTGTCTGCATGTTCTGTTTTTAGCTGTTCTCTGTGTGCTACAAGACTCAGCTCCTTCTCTTTCTTTCCTGCTTTTTTGCCCGCCCACCTTTCCTGTTCCGACTCCTTGGGACGG